GTGGGGAAAAAAGGCAGACTACCCATCTCCTGAAGTGGGGGGAAAGGGGAAGAGAGAGGCAGGAAAAGTTCCCATCTATCTTCAGAATGGGAGGGGTCACCCCTCCCATCCCCCACAACAACTCACCAAAATTCCCTATGGGGCTTTGGGTTGGTGAGAAGCAGTGTTCGGGAGCAAGACAGAAACAGTCTGTTCCCTGCATGCCCTGTCCTGTGGAGGGAGCAGGGGGTGTGTAGAGGGGGTGTGTGAATGTGTGGGCAGGGGGCTGCCTGGGAGCCAGCTGTGGGGGAAGGGGGGGAGTGTATGGGGGTATGTGAAGGGAGTGTGTGTGTTTAGGTGCAGGGTTGTCTGGGAGCCAGTCAGGGGTGAGGGGAGGGAAAGGGAGGCAGGGGCACATGCAGCAGAGCTTGCCCTGTTGGCAGCTGTCCCTGCAGTGCTCCACGTGGGGCTGAGTCCCATCCAGGGCAGCCAGTGCTGTGCTCCCACCCACACCTACCAGCCCCAGTCCCAGCCCAGGTCCTGGCTGTTTCCAGTGTGGCTGCAGCTGGCTGGGTTCACATTGTCACCAGGAGGCAAGGGGACCAGAGCAGTACCTGGCCGGCTGCAGCCGCACCAGAAACCACATGCTGGCCAGTATTGGTGGTGCTATTCTGCTCCCCTTGCCTGTAGCTGTGGCTGCTGCTGCTCCTGCCTCTGCTGTGCCACTCTGGGCGGGCATGTGGGAAGCTTCAGCCAGGAGGATCCTGCCCAGAGCATGGAGCTCTGGCTCTAGTTCCCAGCTACCTTTCACCCACTTGGCCCACCTGGCACGATGAGCAATCCCTGCGGGCGGGCAGAGAGGGTAGAAGGTGGCCAGCAGCTGGAGCTGGATCTCCATGCACTGGGCAGTAGCTGTCCATCTGAAGCTCCTCCCCCTGCCCACCCACCCAGAGTGACACAGTGCAGTGCAGAAGCAAGAGTCACAGCTAAAGGGTAAGGGAGCAACACAGCCCTGCCGGCTCCAGCCAGCTTCCAGTGGGGCTGGTCCCAGTGTAGCAGCAGCCAGCCAAGTGTTGCTGTGCTCCCTTTGCCTCCAGTGGCTGCTTCTCCTTCCACTCCTGCCCCTGCCCAGGTGTGGGGAGAAGCTTTAGCCTAATGGCTCCTGCTGAAGGTGAGGAAAGCACAGGAACATCTGGCTCATTGCAGCCATACTGGGGACAGTCCTGCCAAAACCCAAGTGCTGGCTGGGACTGGGGCTGGCAGGAGCACAGTGTTGGGTGCCCCAGGGGGAGCAGGTGGGGCTCAGCCCCATGTAGAGCACTGAAGGGGCAGTCGTGGGCTGGATCCAGCCAGTTAGCGGGCTGGATCTGGCCTGTAGGCTGTATTTTGCCTGCTCCTAAGCCATGGCATTCAATCAATGCCTGAGAAGGGTGGGACTTGCAGCACCCCTCAGCCAATCAAAGGCATGGGGGGGGCTGCTTTGCTCTGCCTTCAAAATGGTAGCCCCAGCTGTGATACAGCCATGAAATTGGTGTGTGGGGGGATGGGGGGACGGCTGTATTTCAGCTGTGTAATCAGTCACTGGGGCCCATGAATTTGGTAGGTCCCTAGCCATGAGGTATGAGAAAATGAATGAGGTACAAGGAGCTAAGCAGGTAAGCCTGGCTCAGGCTTGTCCCTGCCTGGATGATCCCACACACTTACTGTTCAACCCATGTGTACAGAAGAAAGCACTATAATATAAAAATTCATTTTTGAAATTGGGTGCCACTCAATTCACAAAAGTTAGGGAGGGGTGCCTCAAGTCCCAAAAGGTTGAGAACCATTGGTTTAAAGTAGTGCCTGCATTGTTTATTATTGTTAAATGCAGAAAATCAATTAAGAAACCATTATAAAATGAGATCCCATATGTTCACTGGACAGTCCAATTGCTATATGTATTTTTGAGATAACTGACACCTGGTGATTACATGAAAAACAGACAAAGATTTTTGAAGAAAGATAACTTTATATTCTGTATCTTTATGCCCCCCCCCCCAAACCAGTCACTCCTTCATGAATACAGGCAGTCCCTGACTCTCAACATTTCGAGTTACAATGTTTCTCACTTAAAACATTTATAAATTGACACCCTGTTTCAACTCTCTGATGTCAGTTTCAACTCGGAGGTGATGCCACACCAGCAAACAAGTTCACTGCATCGCCCATCTCCCTGGAGAACATCTGTCCAAACTTCCTTGGATACTTTCTTTAAGAAAGTGGACAAAACTCCAGAAAAACCTGTAGCCAAGACTCCTGAGAAGACTCCAGCCAAGAACCCTTCAAAAAGTCCAACCCAAGAACCCTTCAAAAAGTCCAACCCAAGAGCCCTTCAAAAAGTCCAGCAAAGTCACCTCAAAAAAGTCCTTCCAAATCAATATGATTGCTATTTACAATATGAATACACAATTGTAGCTATGTTACTCATCTATAATTGATTGAGTACAAAATTCTGGGTTATTTTTGGTGCAAACAGGGTATCGGGCCTTGGTTCAGGAATCAATCCCCCATTTATAATATTGTGCCCTATGAGAAAATTGGTTCCGAGTTACAGCTTTTCGACCTAAGACTCGGTTTTCAGGAATCAATTGTCTTGTAAGTCTGAGGACTGCCTGTATAGTTGTATTTCACTTCCTGTGGAGGAACTCAAGATTTATTTGCTACTTTGGAAATCTTCAGATATTTTGTATGCCATGTGATCTCCAGCTGCAAGCATGTTTAGTTATACTATTTTACCAGAACCTATCAAAAAGGCCCTTTGGGAAATGTTCTTATAGCATTAGCAATGTTATCTGCAGGCCTAATTTCTTGTGATTTTCTCTATTTTTTTAACTTAATAACGCTTATATAACAATGGACATGCATGACTTTTTAATGCCATTTTTGTGCCCTTCATACAGTTTTTGATTTTTGAAGCAGTAATGTTTATCAAGAGTGTTTCACAAGAACTGTTCCTATGCCACTTAGGGTCTGTTTTGATTATCTCTTTTAAGACCTGAGAAAGAGCAATTTGTGCCCAAAAGCTTGTCTAACACATGTCTCCTAGCTATCCAGCTAGCCCAGTAAAAGATACCATGAAAAAAAATCCCTTGCTTCTCCTATAGTTCCTGGATCATCCCAGGTACAAGGAGGTTCCAGCCCTACAAAAATGAGGGCCTAAGACAGAGGTAGGCAATCCCTGGCACAGGTGCCAGAGTGTGTCATTCAAAGGCATTACAACACTTGAACATTTTGCTTGGTGCATGTGCCTCAGGGTGGACTGCAGGGAAGGGGCCCAGGCTGCATTGCCACAAGGATCAGGCCCCTCGTGGCTCCTCCACCATCTGCCCTTGGTAAGCCAGCATTGAGGTTTGGAATGTTTTTGGCATTGTGCCCCAAAACACTACTGACTCTTAAAAAGACATTTAATTAGCAGATTACATGAAAGGAAGTATTTGCTGCCCTCTGGTGGTTATTTTTTACACATCCTGTTTTTAAGGGTTTGACTAGTTCTTGATTTCTATTAAGCAAGGATGCAGGTGGTCAGATCCAACAATAAGAGCTGAAGTTTGGAAGCTGTTTAAGTCATATCAAGCCAACACCAAGAACCAGGAAGCCAGGAGACAGACCAGGACCAGGCACCAGAGTTACAAAACCAGGGTCCAAGTCAGAAATTAAGTTTTCCAAACAGCTTTAATTAGGGACCTTTCTGTCCTTCCCAGATGATCAGGAGGCACACAAGTGTGACCAGCCTGATGCACCCCAACTGGCCAATGAAACTCCAGCAAGAATGCCTCATGGAGTTCCCCACACACACCAATTTGCTAACTCTGTGATACAAAAACAAACAAAACAAAGTGTTTTGAAAACATCTTGCAGGTATCCCTGGTTCAACCACCAGGGAAGGAAGGATACTTGCTGGTGGTTGTCTTATCAAATACCTCTCTAAAGCCAGGTGGGCAAAATACAGCCCATGGGCTGGATCCCCCCCACCAATTGATTACATCTGGCCTGCAGCGCACTGCATGACCTGAGCCCTGTCCGTTCAGACTGTTTCCTGGGTGGGCCTAGTGCAGGCTCGCTCAGCACAGCAAACCGGCCTGTGCAAAAGAGGCCAGACTAAGGCAGCTAAGTCCCTCTGCAAATGAAGAACACAGCTCCACTGAATTCCCATCTTTCTCCTTTGTTGTGTGGGATGCAAATGATTTGGGAGACGCAGCATTGTCTAAAACCAGAATTTGTTGGCCTACAGCGCTAAGGGCAAAGAGACAGGTTCATACAGGGTATAATGAAGCCGTTGTTAGATCTGGAGTGAAACACACCACACTGGTAATCCCAGTCATGAGCGTCCCATGCCTCCTGAGGCTGGGGAGGAGGGGTACAGTGACTGCCCACAGGTGGCGGTGGTGTGGTGGCGTTGGCAGCGAGTGGGGATGGCGAGCACCAACTTGTGGTCCGTGACCACCCGTAGATGCTGCTGGCGGTGTTGGCAATGGCCAGTGGTGATCAACAACTGCACACAGACGCTGCCAGTGGTGTCAGCAGCAGCAGGGAGGTGAGTGGTGATGGCCCGCAGGCGCTGTTAGCAGCATCGGCAGTGGCCAATCTTGGGGGGACACATGTGGACCCCTATGTGTCGCCAAAGATTCCCAGCTGCTGTTTCTGAACAATGGGCTTGACAGGCGACAGTCAATTACACTTTTGTTAGGAAACTTGCATTTTTGGAGGACATTCTAACTCTCTGGCATGGCCAGTTCCTTGCTAACAACCTGTAACGGTGGCAAGAGCAAGTCTGGGAAAGGAACCAGGAATAAGGAGCCTCATGTAAACAGCAGGCCCCGGGAGCAGGGAAGTGTGCCTGGAGGTCACTGCTCCCGCTTCGCCCCTTTTTTCGGCGGCTTTTCATTACACCGCGGCTGCCCCCACGAGCAGATGCCTCCCCTTTCTCCTCCGCCCGGGATCTGCCCTTAGGGACCAGTCGGTACCTCAGGGGCGGGGCGGGTCCCGGCTCCTCCCGCCGACCTGCGCGGAGGGATGCTGCGGTGAGAGGTGAGGCGGACATGGCGGCGGCCGCCGGTTCCTCCGCGCTGCGCTCCCGCTTGCTGCGGCTGCGGCGATGGAGCGCGCTGCCCGGAGCCTCTGGGGCCGCCGGCTACAGCAGCAGCAGCAGCAGCAGCAGCAGCAGCGCCGCCAGGTACGACCCCCGCGAGGCCTGCTTCGCGCTGCGGCCCGGCCCGGTTGCTTGGGCGGCGGCGGTTAACTGCCAACGGCTGCGGGGAACGTTGGGGCGGCAGAGCGCGCGGGGGGAGGGGCCGGGCCACACCGCTCCCAGGCCGGGGGAGGCCCTCAGGACTGGGGGCCCCAAGCCCGGTGTCCTTTGTCGCTGCACACGAGCCCGGAGGTGTTCAGCTCGGCTTGCTGTCCTTCCCGGCTCCTCTGCTAGGTCCAGGCTTGGACGGCTGATACGGAAGCCAAACTCTCCTGTGCTTTCTGACTTCCCCAGCTGAGGCATTGAGGCTGAAAGAAAAAAAACCCCAAAGAAACCCAACCCCCAAAATCGCATCAAATATTATGAGACGTATAATAACATGGTGAGCATTGCCAGTGCTCCAATTCTGGGGGCCCTGAAAAAAGGCACTGTGACCACCTAGTTTAAGTACTCTTCATGCCATCCAGGTACTGTAGATACTTCCTTAGCCTGTCAAAGGGTTTTTAAACCTGAAGGCTTGCCAAAAATTTTTCTTCCAACTATTGAAGTTGGTCTAATAAAAGAGATCAGATTGACCCAAAGAACCTTGTCTGCCTATGTCCTGAGACCAACACGGCTACAACTTACACCTCTGTAGTTTAAGTACTGGCATTGGCAAATAGGGTGGCATGAACCAGGGAACCCCAACTCAGAAACCGTTCCCGTGGGGACACAGTCAAATGCATGAGAGCTCCTAGATTTCTAGTCCTTCTCTGACTCCCCACTCACCTTTCTCTCTGATACTGTTTTGGAGTTATTACAGACAACAAGAAACACTCAGTGCATGTTTAGCAGTGCTGTGAAATTACACAGTTTTCCAAACCTAAGAGAACATTTCCCCCCATTCTGGGCTTTCTCCAGATTTTAAAAAGAAGTGAGTCCTTGTCTACATGGACCTCTTTTTTATTTTAGCAGAACCTAAACCATTTTAGTTACATTAGTATAGTGACTATATACATTTTGTCCAGTACTGAAGTAGCTTTTTTTGGTTTAACTCGCTTTACTTGGGAAAGGGTTTCAGGCAAGCAGAAAAAACACCTCTCTCATCAACTGTGATGGCATGGGGCAGGATGGGATGGGAGGGCATTTTTACCCTATCACTAGCACAGCTGTCCCATGTAGATTAAAGCCTACCAGAAGGGCTTCTTTGATTGTCAGTTTTAAATGACTGCTTCAGGGTGTACAAGTGAAATTTGATATTCCTTTTCTGAATAGCTGATATTTTTGTAGCATGTCTAGATTGTTACAAAATATGTACGTTTAAATATCTGGAGTCAATTGTTTAGGTTTTGATCTGAATAGGAAGTGTTAAACTGTTGTTATGCTTTAAAAAAACCCAAACTGTTTAACATCCCATTCGTGTTGAAAAGTCCAAGAAACTGCTTGTAAGAGAAAGCATTTCAGCACCCGATGAAGTAGGCTGTTGCCTGTGAAAGCCTTTCTGACCCAATTAGTCTCTGAGGTGCCACCCTACTCTACCTTCTTACACGAAAAGGAAGAAAATACTTTTAGGGTATCATAGTGCTGCAGAAAGATGGCAATATGTTAGAATTTTCAGTGTAAGTTTTCTGTTTAAACAATACCCTGAAGGCACTCATCAGTTCAAATTAAATGGCCAACTGAGATAAAATGGGGTTTTTTCAGCTCAGATGTCATGAAGGACAGACAGCATTTGCTGACTATTGTAGTTTTCAAGTCATTGCCTCAATTTTGGGGTAAACCTAGGCTTCTTCAGAGGAATGTATTTTAAAAAGTCACATGCAAGCAGTCATGCTACTTAAGTTCAGAAAGTCCCAGTATTTTTCAGCAGCAGCCCATGCTTTCTATTTTACTTAAGTGATTTACTTTCCTATGGTGTCATATTAGAGGATGAACTAATTCTGAATGTTTTTTTTATATGAAGGCAAGTAATGCATGCATGTGTGTGGTATGTGTTTTCAATAGCCTATTTCTTACCAGCTCTCTTATCATTTTTTAGTATTAACAACAGTCACATATTCAAAGGAATGTGCTCCGTGTCTGTTTTATAAGTCCTGGGCAAGTAATTAGCAGAAAGCATGTTCTTAAAGTAATACCAAAAACCAAAATACTTTTCCTATTTTAGATGAACACCAGAAGTTATGTTTTTTTGCTGTCAGTGCAGTTGTTTCCTTGCAGTTTTTCCAGGATGTTTTCTGCAGATGGGAAGGGATATAGACTAATCTTAAAATACGTGTCAAATGGAAAACATTTTGGAAGAAGTACATCTTTTCCTGCATATTAAACAATAATACTGTCTTCTGATTTTCATATTGATATGAAAATCGATGAACTGGCTTACAATTTCTGCTTAAACCACTATAATTTTGAAGGCTCACTTGCAACAATTTTGTAGACTTAGTGAGAGGCTCATAAGTTGCCAGTTTAGATATGTTTGAAAAAAAAAAAAGCTTCATCATGAGAATTTCCAGAATGCAGTAGTGGTAACAGTGGTGTATTTCTGAATAAAACATCATTCATTTAAATAGTTGCCTTGAAGCAGATTATCAGGTCCCAAATTGAATGGTGTGTTATGCAAGGATACAAAGCAGTTTGTTTATGCTTATTGGTTTCTCTTTTCTCTTCTAGGACCAGCAGAGAGAAGAGATTCCATCTTCCAGAATTCACCACTGTGTCCTTCCCCATATGTTCTTAGACTTGTTTTTGATAATTAAAGAAATATTGTCAAGTAATAATCTAAAATATGTTAAAATATTTTATTCATTTCCATCAGGGATGTAAATATTTTTAAACATTATTCATATAACCTCCTCTAATTATATCAATTGATCAATAACACAGCAGCTCAGATATGGCTGCTGCTGGGAGCTGTTCCTGAAAGAGCAGCTAATTACTTAACTGATAGCTCATTAGGCATCCCACAGTTTTCTTTAACCTCATAGGCTCTATGGGTATTAGTTCCCCCTCACCCCTCCTCCTTGCTTCTCCCTCCTTCCTGCCCTGCCATCTTCTGGTTCCTGCTGAGGGACAGCATAGCTTCCCTGCCCCTTACCTGCTGGACTGCACCCGGCCCAGCACTAAATAATAACCAGTAAAATAACTGGTTATCACTGGGCTTATTGGTTAAATGGTGACTCGTTTAACCCTTCACACCCCTAATTTGCATTCAGTTTGGCTTAATCTTGATAGAAAACTGTGCATGTATCTATAGTCTCTTTTGATTTTAGTGCTTTTCACTGTCCCTTAAATTATCGACAATTTTCGTATTAATTTAATGGTACAATGGGATCTAATCCCCATAATCACGTGTCCTGCCATGCCACACATAGCTAGGGTATGCATTTAAAGGTGCAGAGAGGGAGAAGTCCATGGGCTCCTGCTGCCTGGCTTTTGCAAATCCATGCCCAAGGGCTGCCCAGGGCCAAGTCAGCAAATGCACAGTGGGGGTAGCCCATAGGTTTCCTCCACTGTGCACCTTTTAAACATGTGTCTGCCCTAAGCAGCCCCTGCAGGGGAAACCTGGGGCACAGGTCTGCAAGTGCCAAGCAGGGGGGGCCCATGTGTTTCCCCTGCTCCGGGCCTTTAAATCCTCACACATGGGTTTATAAAATCACCAGGTGCTGGAAACCAGGATGAGGAGAGCCTCCCTGGAGGCTTTAAAATTGCCATGTGCTGCCCAGCTAGGCTGCAGGTATTGTTATTTAAAAGCCTGGGATGCAGAGACCCAAGATCAGAGAGCTTTTCTTTATCTTGGGTTCCTGTGTCGATTTCTAAAGACTTGGGCCTGCCCCGTGATAATCTAGGCACTCAGCTGAGTTGGACCAGAAAATGTTAAACATTCAATTTAAGGTATGATTCAAGCCAGCTGTAAAGATGTAGCATCTTTGTGGCTGGTTTGCCCTGTTTAGTGTGTCAATAATAGGGTGTGTGTGTGTAGCATGTTGCAATTTATAGTACAGTTAATGTGTTTGAAACATAATTATAACATTTGCCACCGCTCTTAGTGTACCTTCTTTTCCAAGCATATTTAATTAAAGTGAAGGTGTCTGATAGATAAGTAACTGCTATAGAACAAAGAGCCTACACTATTAGAGGAAATAATTGTTTTTTCTAAATAAATACCTTGTTCTTTCAACTGAGAGACTCCAAAACAAGAAATTGAACTCAAAAGACTAAAATCATCATACCTCTACTTAAAATCCATCTTTTTTTTTTTTTTACTCCAAAGACCTTGATAGTGGGTGCATCTACATGAGATTCCCTGTCATCATAGTGATGAGCTATGGTGATATAGCTCGTTGCTACAGTGACATAGCATCTGCAGACACAAACCATGACAGCGATGCTACTGCGCAGTAACTTGCTGCTACTACACTATAGAGTCGAAAAAGATCTGTGCGCCGCCGGGACTGGGCAGTAACTGTTGTTACTGTGCAAGACTGCACAGTAACAACTGTACGGTCAGGGACACGTGTAGATGTACCTCGTGTTCCTTTTTGAAAGTTTGCTTTAAATACTGCTATTGAAAAAGTGACTCTATATATTGCATTGGGATTTTTTTGTTTTTTTTCATGTATATTTACGGAAGAAACTGGGGAGTGGTTTTATATCAGATGTGCGGAGTAATTAGGACAAAAAAAAGTGTGTCCTTTCCTGCCACAAGAAACTAAGCAATTTATTTCACCAAATATAATAAAAAGCAGAAATTAAGTCACTATTTTTCTTTCAAATTCCTTTTAAGTAATTTTAAACCAAAGGTTGAAATATGCATTGTACAAATCAGATTAATAGTACAGCTTTCTGATATATATAGACTTTGTATATTACTCCTGGACCACCAGAGTAAATCCTAGTTCCACTGAAGCTATGTAAGGCCAAGATATTATCAGTAATGTTTCTCTTGTCCTAATGTACTAGTTCTGTGTGTCAGACAAAACCTAAATAAAAAAAGAAGATGTCAGATAGAGCGTTGAGTTTAAGGAATAATAAAGTAAAAACCCTTGAAATAGCCAGCAGTGGTCTGATTCATTATAAAACAATCCTACAAATGAAGATTTTTTTTCCTTTCCTGCACTGACACTTAACAAGTACAATCCTATTACTTCTTAATAGTCAAATAAATAAATTTGCTCATGTTAGATTCAAGATGTTTATTCTTTGTACCTTTGCTATTATAATCTGAGGGTTTTTGTTTTTTGTAATTAAGATGTCTTCACATGTAGGCAATAGGGTTAGATTAGAAAATATATAATGTATATTGTACTGATTATAAAATGACTAGAGGTGCACCCTTACGTCAGTCTGATATTGAAGCGGTACCAATATAAAGAAAATGGGCTGTATTGGAAATTGGCCTGAAGTGGCTGATACTGTGGCCGATAAATGCCCGTGTATGCGCATGCAGCTGCACCACAGCACGCAGGCAGCGAGGCGCAGAGCCCAGTAGCATGCAGCTGATGAGTCTATTGAGGTGGGAGGGAAGGGTAGTGGGGGGGAAGATCAATGCCCCCTTCACTGAGGGGAGAGAGGGGGCAGGCACTGCCCAGCCAGGTTGGGGTGGAGGACAGAGTAGTGGCTCGTTGGGCGGGGGAAGTGGCTCCCACTGCAGAGGGCACAGGGAGGGGGGCATGTGCCCCTGGATTTGTGTGGGGTGGGGTGGGGTGGGCAGGCTGTAGCTGTGGGCTGAAGATCAGGCTGCACCAGGCTCTTCTTGGTGAGGGCTGGGCTGAGGCGGGGAGTGGTGGTGGTGCTGGGAGGGGGCCTAAGGAGGGGGCTGCAGCCACCACAAATTTTCCCGTAGCCCCCACCCCCTCATAGCACTGCTCCCAGCATTGCCATCTGGCACAGCCCTGGCTCTTTCCAGCATGTGGGTGGAGGCGGGAGGTTGAACAAAGGCTGTGCTAGGCAGGTGGAAACAGCGCTATGGGAGGGGGTGGTCTATGTTGAAATTTGGGCTGGCTGCAGCCCTCTCTGTAGCCCCCCTCCCAGTGCTGTCGCCACCCGCCCCAAACCCAGCTCCTGCTGAGAAGACCCTGATGCAGCTGTGGCTCCAGCCCCCAGCTGCAGCCCACCCACCCCACACAGATCCAGGGGTACAGCCCCCCAATGTCCTTCCAGCATGTGCACAGCAGCAAGAGCTGCCCTTCCTGATGAACCATGGCTCTGTCCCGTACCTGCCCCCCCCTCAGCGAGGCAGTGCCTGTCCCTGCCCACTCCCTCCCTCACCGTGGGGGGTATTTATTTGCCCCCCACGCCCCTTCCCTCCCTTGTCCCTTTCCACCACAGACTTACAAGTTGCACACAGTTGTATCTAAAATTGGATTGGTGTCGGCTGATATGCCTCCTTAAACATCAGCTATCAGTATCAGCCCCCAAAATATCAGTGCACCCCTAAAAATAACCCCTCTCCAATAATTCTATTATTGGAGGTTTGGCTTGAATTTGTCCCTTTCCCACTGCTACAGCAGGGAAATAAATCTGAGGGGTCAGGTAGCCCCTTTGTTCTCTGCTTCCCCCAACTTGTTTCCCCTCACAGCCCCTTCTACCTCTCCCTGTTGTCAAACCCTGCTCTCCGTGAGCACATTGAAGTGAGGAGCAAATTTGAAAGCAATAATCTTGAAATTAAACACGACTGTAGCAATTTGCACATGGTAGCCATGCACTTAGCTCATCCAAAATTGATGCATGTTACTTTTTTAGAAAGTAGCTGCAAGTACTTGAAAGTGCTGGAGTACAAGTACTCCATAAACATACTTTTGAGCAGCACTTTGGCACATCTACTTATATGTAGTACAAACCATGCATGGTATTAATCCAAAGCCAAAAGCTCATGGATTTATCATGCAGTTCTTTTGTCACCAGAGTCAGCAGCAATTCAAGCCATGGTGACCCCACAGCTCAGCACTGTGAGTGTGAGAGAGAGAGAGAGACCTCCCCACTCTCCCCAGAAAGATCCATATGCTAACCATGCCCTCTCATGACTGCAACCAGGTGATGTACAGGATAACCTGCTCTGGTTTCACTTCATGGAGAGCAGGGACGTACTAATTGTATGCACCAGGCTGAGAGAGGGGGCAACAGGGATTCTGGGTGAACTGTTTGGGGCCCTGTTTGGTGATGTTTGCTAGGCATTTAAGGCTAGTGAAGAAATGTGAATCATAGGAAATGGGAAGGAAAGGCAGAGTTTGCCTGTGGAAATGAAGAGGAAGTTAAAACTTGGCTCACCACAACTTGAAAAAGAGTCAGCAGTGAAGAAGACTCACCTAATGGGTATTATCATATGTATTATTCAGATAGGCTGCCTGTTGGTTAAGGTCAAGCAAGGTTTGCTGGGGGGCATCTGAACCCCAACGTCTCCAGGCCTAGGGCTTGCAGGTAGGATGTTTCCCTGGATTTGAGGAGTATCTGAAGCCCCAGGTTGATGGATCTGGAAGGGACGATACTTGCTGGTGGTTGAACCAGTTTAGTTTTGGAACTTGACTATTGGGCCTTGTGTTATTGAATTTGGAACTGGTAGGTTCCCACGAGCGTGTTTGCCCACACATTTTATAGTCATGCGCCATGTTGGCTGTATTTAGTCAACTTCATAATTGGTTTCCATTGCTGAGCACATGCTGCTTTTGGCCTGCCCCACCTGCAGTTTGCACTTGCCCTCCCACCCCTCACAGGTTGCATCTGCCTGCTCGCGCTACCCATGGATTGCACCTGCCTCCCCCACCCCACCTATGGGTTGCAACTACCCCTTACCTCTTGCAGGTTGTGCCTGCCTCCTCACTTCTCCCGTGAGTTGCGCCTGCTCCCCCTACCACTCATGGGTCGTGCATGCCACCCAACCCCAAGCATGGGTCACACCTGCCCCACCTGCGGGTCATGCCGGCCCCCTCTACTCCACCCACAGGTCATGCCAGCGTGTGCCATGCCCCCATCCCACCTGCAGTTGTGCCTGCCCCCCCCCC